TTGTGATGGTCTCAACTACAACACTGCTCATACCATGCTTTCTGGCATAGTTGAAGGCTTTCTTTACCCTCATTACAGGAGGGGGGTGATTTACCCACTTGCCTTTAACAATATCTCATCTTCTTCCTCTACACCACAGCCACCATTGTAGTAACAACAGCCCCCTTGACCAATCTGGAATGGGAATGGATCGTTATCCTGACAGTCTTAGCAGTCCTGTGTGTGGTTCTCATTGTCATTCTGATTGCCTGCGCCTGCATATGGAGTGGCCGCAAGAAGGAATAGGTACCAGAAGTCCCCCTCCCTTACAAGTAGCAGTTACCCCGCCCTTCCCCAACCAATGGTGGAAGATGGGACTGGATAGAAATGTTATGACCAAATGCTGAAAGTAACATAAATGCCTGTGGAAGCCAATGATCTCTATGCTGAGTGGCAAAGCTATGTGTAGAGAGAGTAGCACCAACTTCAGAATTTGGAACCAAAATGGCCGTTCATTATGTGTGCAGTGCAGCATTCAAATATTGTGTGCCGATTGTCCATGTGCACCAACACATATCCACCATTTTGGTTCCAACAATTGAGACACTCATGTCGCAACTTGCTCCGTCAGTGAATTGGAAGAGGGCCCTCACAAATTCAAGGCACTGGCCGCCATCTTGCTTCACCCAAAGATCTATCCACGCCAATACACATATGTACATCAAGAGAATTTAGGAACAATTCCCTCTTTTTATGTTAAAATCACAGACTAGCAAAGTCCCCATGCACCAAATGAGCAATATAGTGCGAAAGGGTGTCTCAAGATTTGGCTGTTCGGATGCAATTAGACTTCATGACAAGTCGTTACATTGATGCATTTTATCCTCAAACCTCAGTCGAAATGCATCAGTACAGTTTTAGCATACCAAGACAAGTAACATAATGGTCCAGTTTTTACTCGTCTTGGGCAAGTTGACCAGTGAGCTGTCCAACTAAGAGTGAGTGTTTACCTTATGGATTATGTGTGGAGAAAAAAATTGGATTCAATACCGACTTGGCACCAAGTCTGGGGTGAAGTAAGATGGCCGCCCGGTGGCTTCACGAGGGGATAGATCAATCGGGGCACGGCGTCCCATCCAGTTAGCAGAGATCCATGATTAAAGATTAAAGCCCCTGGAAAATATCTGCAGCAGTTTCTCATAGATGGGCATTACCTGCTTAGCCACAGTGGGTTGTTTCAGACAGTACCATATTCATATATATCGTTTTACATACCTTGTGTGGACGTTCCTTTGCTTTCCTGAGGTCAAGAAAATGCGGTGAAAATGGCCTCTTTGAACAAACATTCAACTGTGCTCTGCGCGGGGAATTGCTTTTAATGTACAATTCTGCTCACTGTATTAGGATTAAACTTCAACAAGGCTACTGTTTGGATGCACATGTTAATGAAATTCCATATTTGTCTTTTTATTTCAGATATTCATTTGTCACATTCATGGACCTGCCCCTGGCCAGAAAATACTAATCATCATCGTCTTCCCCTCTGGGAATTTCTGTCACATTGGTCTCAGTTTGGTTTTTATGAATACAGCTGTATACCTTGGGGCCAAATTAAATAGATAAGCACCGAAATTTGATCGGCCCAGAAAATAACATGCCATGTATTCCATGATTACTTGTACCCCTCTGGTATTAATATCCAGCTTGTAGATTTGCTTTGGGGCGTGATCACAAGGTGTTACTCAGGCAAATACCCAGAAAAACTTATTTTCTTTCTTTGAAATTTATTAACACACATCAAGTTTTCAGTTATCTATAAGAGCCCACAGTTTGCCCACCTTTTGGCAGGATTTAGTCTTGGCCAATGGCAAGACCAGAAACTGTAAATAAATCAAATGACGTGTATCCACCTTATTTTTATAACAGACGCAATACGTTTTCAAACCTCAGTAACAAAACTGTACCATTTTAAAACAATTGTCGATTATTGGAAACAAAATATAGTTTATAGCATTTTAGTGAGATTTTCACCTTGATGGTGAATTGCGACTTTCTGCTGAGCGGGAGAAAATGAAATACATTGTACAATGTAAGGGTAGCCTTTTTTGACTTGTGTGTTTAACGTCTTTCATAAATATTTTTGAGTGGAAATAATTGTCAACTACAAGCCAAAGTTTGTGCTGGATTTTTTCAATGAGCCAATTATAAGGATACTAGTTATTTCCTACTCCCCAAATGTAACCATGGTGTACTTGTTTTATCTGGTCATTTCAATCCATACAACTTTATAATTTGAAAATTACTCCCTCCTAAAAGATGGACAATGCTTGATGGACATTGTCTCAGTTTATTCAGGAAACAGTTGTAGATAGCCGAGGCCTTGTTGCCAGGCATCTCGTGTGATGCACATCATCGTTGGTTACCCACCATCCCAAAACCAGGCTGAAGTAGGTAACTTCATCACCCTAAAATAGTGCAACTCCTATTGCTCAGGTTTTCATTGGAGTTCACAGCTATCACTACACATAAGAAGCTTTCTGCAGACAGAATTTTGATTTAACATAGATCACTTTAAAGTGAAAAAAAAGCTGAAGGAGAGGCGTTGTCCAACATCACAAATACCGACTTCAGCCTGGTACTGGGATGGTGGGGTCACATCCTGGCCTTTTCTGAAATGTGGAAAAAGTCTCCATCTTCTCCTTAGGCTGCAAGTAGTCCCTGGCTAACGAGATTCTGGCTCAACATTCGGCCATGTAAGTTGGAGTTCCAGAAATACTGTATGGCATGAAACCAAAGTTAGGACTTGATCCAAATACATCAAGTCAGCTTGGTTCTAAAGTTCAGACTGACATGAAGTAGAAGGCATTGGTTAAGTGGTCTTTGAGAAAGGGCCATGGAATAGACACCATCGGAGAAGTCTCACATTTTTTGTACTGTGAACGATTTGCAGAAACACGCAGATAGGTCATTACAGGAATAACCTTTTTAACTTCTAATCCCTTCACACAATGACATTTTGACAATGAATGATATATTTGCACATCAACATGTCAAGTGTATTATAGTGTTTATTCAGAACCGCCATTCGGGCTTTCATAAACATATTTTAAAGCTTTGTTTTTAACCAGAACTGAAAATATGTACATGGATTCATTACATGATATAAAGAAATGCTAAAACTGTTTTTGAAAAATTTTACTTGATGCGGAGATTAGGGCTACTTTTAGCGGAAAACTTAGCGCTTTTTACACAGTTGTCTTTCATATTTCAGTAAATAATTTCATACTGTAAGTACTTTGCTAAGCTGATGCATCTTAAAAAACGACAAGGTAATGCAGTTTTGCAGGGAGAAAATTTAAAGCTTCAAATCAACACTTGTATTAACCAGGGTCACAATGTCAGGGTACCAGTACAATAGTTTATATGTGGTTTGGGCGTTACAGGATAGGTGTTGCAACAAACTTTGCGGTTTAGTATACAGTTCAGATGCTTGATGGTTTGCTTGTGTAGGATCTGGAGGGAATGTTTCAAAACCTTTGATTGGTCAGTTGAATGCTTTTGAGCAGATCACTTGGGTAGTTCTCATTTTGCAGTTGTTTTCAAGACTAGTGTGAATGTTGGATAGTTGGAAAACTCCCTTGTATAATATTATAGAGATTTTGTGTTGTATGTTTGTGACTTGCGTTTTTTGTACAAATATGAATATGCTGAAGTTGCAGAGATGTAACTCTTTATGCCATTTTCACAAGTATCTTTTTTTACTTATTTTTTGATAAATACAAAGTTCATCATAACAGTGCTAGTGCACTGAGTGACAGATATTGAAATAAATGAAGTATTGGAAAGGAGATTTTAATGCAGTTTCAACTTTGAAAATAAATGAAATTCATTTGGCCAGAGTTTTTCTAAAAAGAAAGACCTGCATTTGTGATCATAAATTGGGAGATCAAATGCCTTTGATGGAGCTCTATACCACGCTGCACACCATCTGGCTCACGCAATTGCAGATCCAACTGATCGACTTAGTGCTGATTGATACACACTAGGACAAGTTCTGAGACCAAAAAATGACCAGGCTGTCCAATTTTGGACTTTCAGGACCTGGATATTTTGTAGATGGCCAAGAAATGTCAAGTTTGCTGCCAATGAGTGCCCCTCACCCCTGGGTAAATCCTGGGGATTCCTTTGAGTAGCGATTGATCTAACTTGAGTGTCCGACACAGAGAAACAAAACAAGTGGACTATTACAATACTTACACCTATTGGCTCCACGAACCAAAGTCGTCAAAACATACCTCATAAAAACATTTACAAGAACTGGACGGCAGCATTAAACAAACTTTTGCTGTCAAGTATCAGTGTTGCATTACAACATCTCTGATGTGCATTGAATGACAAGTTTGAAAACCAAGCATCTCCTACAAGTTCTGCCCGCACTGCAGTAGCTTTTGGTTGACGACATCGACGCATGAGTGTGTTTGGGTTTCATTTTCTTCCAATCGGAAAAAAATTTTAAATCGTACAAATAAACTTTCATTGATTAACGGCAACATGGTACGCTTTCATTTCAAGTCTTTTAATTTGCATCTGTGTCCTCCTGACATGCTTTATGACTTTCCTGTTAGCAGAGTGATTGAAAATACGAACAAATCACTGTAAATGAGGCTTGTATCCAATACAAGATGCAGTTTTCTACACTTTACTGGAACAAATTACTCTTCACATAAACTGGATCAATCTGATGTGTGACATGGTTCAAGCAGGACCGTACAGCTTTTATACAACCCCCAACACTGTCAAGAATTTAATAAATCAAAAGCACTGGATGATCCTGATTGGACAGTGGCTTTGAAAAATGGTACAAGTACATGAATATGCAGCATTCAAACGCTGCAAAATAAGATTATTCAGCGTGGGACATCACACTGTTGTTGCTATGGGATTGACCAAACAGGAAAAAAAGTATCCATTAGTTTGCTTCAACATAAATTAATAACTCTCATTGCAATGTTTCACCTTTTGTTCTGACAAACCATTCTTGGAAAAATGAACATAAAACTTATCTTTGATGATAAAGTATTTTTCTCTTTAAATTTTTGCAGCACTCTCAATAGATTACCAAAAGAGGATAATTGTAAATTTAATTTTCTGTGGACTCTTTCAAATAAATTAACAGAACCTTATGGGTTTTTCATGTTAAAAAAAATGGGGAGAGACTGCATTTTCCTGCACGCAGAATTTTTATTCAAAGCCAACTGCTTGATTTGCTTAAAATTTACAAAGTTGACAAGTTCTCCATGTACTGTAATAAGCATCCTTTATTATATTATTAGCAAACGTTTTTGGAAAACTCAAAATTGAAATTTCCTTCATTTCTTATGGAAACACACTGCAAAAATGATAAAAATCACAGAGATACAAATTAGAAGTCTGTTTCTTGGAATTGAATATAAAATACCTTTTTACCTGATTAAAGAGAAAAAGTAGTGAAGCAAAATTCTTTGGAAATGTTGAAATGGCAGATATACATTGAACTTTAAGGCAAGGTTTGAAGACAAACAGATGTTTTTGACCAAATTCAAAATGAACTGCTCCTTGTTACTTTCTAGATAATGAGACCAATGATTTGCTTATAAACCCTCTGGAAGCAGGGTCGTGATGAAGAATGTTGCTGTCTGTCACACGGTCTGCCTAAAACACTACAAGCAACTTGAATCATAGTAAGGGAGTGAGAAATGATTATTTTCTAACAACAAATGAAAGTAACCTTTTTACTCACTCTCCACTTTTTTTCAGTGAGCTCTTCAATTTTTGCAGATCATACAACTGATACTGTCAAACCACTGCAGAAAGAACATATCTGAATGACACTGCAGCAGCAAAAGATTGCTGCCTCAGACAACTGTTTATACGGACCAATCTTCAGCAGACCCAACTGTGATTGTCATATAGGAACATTCTACTCTAAATTCACACCGCCAACTAATCAACAAATAACAAAGGGGGTGGAAATCAACCAAAGGACCTATACAAGAAGAGAACCATGTACAACGTGCATGTACATGTATATACATTTTTGAAAAATATGCACAAAAATAAGTCAAGGGGCTTCCTATACAAGAAAATACTTTGAACAAGTGCATCTAGGCACTACGGCTTTGACAATGAATAACCTTGAAGTTCTATACAAGATAATGGCACTTCCAAATCAAGGCAGGACTTACCACAACATCTCAATTAAAAATCCTTCAGCCAGTCGATACTACACTCCATTTTAACCAGGATTGGCTTATTTATATCACCTTGATTTTATACATCACCTGATTAATCACAATTTAAATCAAATGATTTCTTTTTAATCACTGATTTAAACCATTTTTTAATTTTTTGGTAAAAAGGTGAAAGTGATTTAATTTCTAATTTGTCTTTCACTAATTGGTAATTTTCTACGGTTTACACATTTAAACGGCCAATCCACCTCATCAGTGCCTAATATTGATAAGACATATGAATGCAGACACACAAAATATAGGTTGGCAGGGTTTTTGTTAAAAACTTAGAACTCGATTTGAAATGTGGTACGTAAATATGCACTTCACCCTTGGTACAGGTAAAGTACCGTATGTAGTATACTTATTTTAAATAAAACTGCCTGGTTTGGCATAAGGCAGAAAATACAGCACAATCCTATACAGTAACTAAAACTAGCGATGTACTAATTATCAAGGTTGGGTGCAATGTTCATAGTTTCTAGATGCTAGCAACACATTGCTGAACATCTTTCTGTACGACAGATATTTGACCTATTCACACAAACACAAAATTCATGATCAGTGTCACTATGTACATTTAAACACTAATTTAAGATTTTTTGCCCTGCCTAAGCTTGCCGATGTGAGCTTGGTCGAGTGGTTAAAACATCCGTACTAGTACTCAGGAAGTCGTGGGTTCGAGTTCCACCCAAGTACGCTTGTGATTTTTTCACAAGCCTTCGGGGGCAAACACTATACAGTGTTATAATACACACCGGGCAGGGCAAAAAAAATCCCAAAATAATTAACATCTCCCCGGCGCAAATCCATCCTTAAAAATACATTTATTTATGTACGTGCATGCCTACGCATTATGTTTGCTTCTTGTTGTTAAGCAACACCAACCGTTGCCAAATACCCTTCCCCAAGTTTTGCCCACTGTACAAGTACATGCAAGTCCAGCAGGCGCTGAAATCCTGGACACATTGTTGGGACACGCCAATAGCCACACCCCTTCCAGGTCCCCCCTCCCCCAGTCAACATTGTCATTTCGAGCTGGAGCGCAAACTGCGCGGTGAGACCCAACACATTGAGAGGGAGCCCAGGGGTGGGGGGCCCAATGAGATTTGGCCAGGATTGTCTGAAGTGGTTTCTGGTTTTGTATGTGCAGTTATCATGTCGTTTTGTGTGTGCTGTCTGGCATTGCCCTTGGAAAACAGTGGCCTCCGGCAGTTGAATATTTTAGACAACTTGCACAAGTTAAAGAAAGGGGAAGATAAGTATCAATTTTGCAAAGTGTATGTACCATCACAACTGTTTTGTAGGAGTTCATCATACATGTATATGATGCAAACTGGCATTTTGGCCCGAAACTGTCCAAAATTGATGCGTTTCTGAATTTGAAAGGTCCATTCGGGTACAGAAACAGCTTACAATCCTCAGGGTTTTTTCTCATTTCGTCATTCCGTTACTGGCTTGAAAAAAATGCAAAGATGATCCATCAAAAACCCAAAAAGGTAGGAAGTGAGAGACTCAAACTCTTGAATGATGTGCTGTGGCTCACCGTTGTTATTGTGTCATATATATCGCATTTTTGAGGGCATTTTACGCACTCTGCTCGGTGAAGGTTAAGAAATGCAATCATTACAGTTTTGTCTTTGTACAGCATAGATAATTCACAAATATTTCATGCACTCTTAGCCCAGTGTCCCTAATATTTCAGCTTATTTCCACTATTAGTTAACAAAGTTCAGATCTAGAGTCCTAAAATTTGGCCAGGATTGTAGCTGCTGATGCAATGGCAATTTTTTACAAAGGTCTCTCTAACATGCTATCTCAGCAACTTGTCAAGGCAACATCCAATTCTGTCTGTCCCTCCCTCTGGGGTCCATTAAAGTTTTTCCTGCACAGCCCCGAGTCAACATATCCCCGCTGAGACCTCTGTTCTAGCGTAAATATTAGTCCAGGTTTGGAAAACTCTGCAGGTGAGTGGAAAGTGTCTCCATTGCCTCTTTACTGAAATTGTTAAAAGGAATATCCAGCTCTGTTAAACCGTGCCCTGCTGGAAGTAAGCTGATCAAGCTTTCAATGTCATTGTCATTTAGTTGGCAATGCCTCAGACTCAGCCCTTCCATGGATGGAGTGATAACCTGTGGGTGAATATCAGCCACTCGACCCTGCAGGCTGACGCCGAGCACCTCCAGGCGTTTCAAACTGTATCCCCCACTCAGTGCATTCAGTATGCGAGTGGCATCAATCTCTTCTTGATGTCGCAACAGATTGAGGACGAACCTCTCCACTTGCTTGGATATGCGGCCTATGCTCCCTGCAAGCCGCTCAACATCAAAGGTAGAGTGGTAAAGCTTACCGACAATAAGTATCAACTCCAGACGACTTTGGAGCCATCTGTCCAGTTTTCCAATTTCCTTCTCAAGCAGCTCTGCTTCTTCGTTCCCCTTGTCCCACAAGGTGTACTCAATCCTCAACCAATGTGAGGGATTAACCACACTGACTTGAAGACGCTGTTTAAGTCCTCTTATATCGTCGCATGATGAGTAACGGAATGGTGAATATAGCCCTATTTCATTATTTCTTTCCAGTTGCGGAAGATCTTGCTGTAGCATCTGCTTAATGTGATCTTCGTTGAGACCAGTGCCAGTGAGTGACACGTGGCACAGGTAAGGGAAACTGCGACAGTGAGCTATCAGAGCCTTCACTGCATCCAAACTGAATTCGTTGTCACTGAGGTCCAGATATATGAAGGCATGTCCTGCTGGGAGGATGTTGATCAGGCTGTCAATGTCATCGTCTTGCAGCCTGCAAGAAGATAACGTCAGCTGCTTCAGTGATAGAGTGACGAGAGAACCTAAGGCAGCAACGCGACTGAGCATGTCAACACCGCAAACAGAGAAGCTGTACAGTGAGCACCCTTGAAGAGCATCTATGAGCGTACAGCAGTCTGCCTGCGATGTCCCACCCACCTTGATATTCCAGATGTGATTGGATAATCCGGTAATGCACACTGACAGGGCCCGAGCATCATAATGCGACTGGTCATCAATGCAAATGGTCACACATGTGCACAGACGGTCTGTGAATCTCTTGCTGACCAAGACCCTCTCTGCAGTGGTGAGTGTTTCCTCGAGCAGCTGTAACATCTCGTTACCCTGATCAGACAAGAAGCACATGATGTTTATTTTGAAGAAGTCCCCCTTGGAATTTTCCAGGATACCAGCCAGCGCTTTGATGTCTTGAAGTGACTTGCATTTGATTCGAAGCACATTCAACGTTGTTGGCGGTGGCTTCATGTTGGACTCCAGGTAAGAGCCCAGAGCTGTCAGTTCCTCTAGACCTTCACATTCCAAGTTCCCTTCATGCTTCAGTTTGAATGCTAACTTGGTTGAACTGCGCTCCATTGTCAAGATCTGTGCTGCTTTGTCCTCAGAGTGCATCATTTCATGACTCAGGATGAGATTGGCAGCTCGCTCTGACAACCCACAACTGAACTGCAGCAAAGATATCATCTTCTGAACACCAACTGACTCAATCTTCTCCAGATGGTCACGGAAGCTCTGTTCCTCATCCTCAAGCAGACTGGTCAGATAGTATGCGGCACAGTATTCCTGGAAAGACTCATCTGGCGAAACGATATCTTCTGTCCCTCCCAGAAGGGTCTCCCACAAACTGAATTCCTCTGTGCCATAAGAGAGTTCTCCACCATCTAGAAGCCTTTGAAAGGCAATCTGTCCCACTTTTTTCAGCTTTGTACTCATCAGTTCCTGCCGATCGGTATAACTTGCCCCGGAGCCATGCTTGACGACAGCTTCTACAACTTCCAGATAGAAAGCTGTTAATGTGTCTGGCAATGACCTCGATGGTACGAGTCTGTCTGGCCAAAGTGGAGAAATAATGCTTTCAAAGTATGGATCCCAAGACAGTTCCTCAAAAGACTTACTGAATTTCAACCTGGCTTGTAACTGTAGGCAAAGTGGCAGATCATGAGGGCCTGTTAATCAAGAGATATGACACTACATGTACATGTGTACATAAAAGACAAAAGGACTGTTTACAATAAACTGGAACAAGAACAAATAGCATTCACATTTTCCTTGTTTAGAATACGCAGGCCTTCTGTACAGGCCTGTGTACGTGTTGGCTCCAACTTTTATACAATTATACATGTACATGCTCCTGAGCTCAAAAAAGAGGTGAGGTAGGGGAAATTGCAAGCTACTTTAGACATTTCACTTTTTTGTTTCATAAGAAATGGCATACATGGGGCATTAGTACTTAGCAATGAGTTCTATCCTAAAAGTACATGTATTTACGCCCATTCATATGACATGAAATCTATTTGTAAAGCAAACATGATAACATTGTCATGTACTTGTCTGCATTTGCATTGCAGTAAATGTTTTTGATGAGTTCCTCTCAAAGTCCAAAGGTAAACTTCAATATAAGATAAATATAAGTACAGTGGTCGGAATCAGTTCAAAAACTTTGGCCGAGTTACTTAAATTACAGGGATACAAATGTTTGGTGCATGCACCAATGACACGGCCCATTGTCAAAAAGAACTGGACTAGAGACTACGCCCCTTTGCAGACACACACATGTACTAAACATTTCAAGCCTTACTTTTTGTATGAACACTCGGATTTCTTCTCAAAGTTAAATGCCTGAGCACTCAGAACATTTACATGAAGCTCATTCCTACCCTAGCACCTCACACTTTGATATACGGTACACGTACATGTACACGTTGGACAGGGAAAAGACTAAATTACGGCACTGACTGAGAAAAAAGTTGAATTTACAAATTTATCTTTACAAACCTGATTTACCGCTTGCCTGAGCACCTGAAAAGAATAAAGAATGACGCAATTAATACGGTTGTGAAATCACATGGCATGTATCGATTATTGACTAATACTTAATTGATTATTGGTTATCCCTAATATTACCTGATTGCCCGCGCACGGCACCTGGTCAGTGCGTTCATGCCACCTTTGCGGTTAGCACCACCAAGATCCGCAGTGACATTACTGCCACGTGCCAACGAGCCAGAGTCTCATGTAAACAATGAGAACATGCTTGGAGACCCAAGCGTCCTCTGGTGATCAAGCATGTCAAGTTGTTTTTGCCACGCTACACGCTGTACTTGTTCTTTCTCATAGTATTCCCTTTAAATGATATAATCCAATGTGTTTTTGTTTTTAGTTAAAAACAATGCAACAAGTATAAATTACACATGTAGCCGATGTACACGTACACATATAGATAACAGAGTCTGTCTGAGTTTGGGGGTTTGGGTAGAAGTGGTCGGTCATGAAGTATGTAGACCTGTGTGATCCTCCTTTTATAGCCTCCGTCTTCTGATGGACAACCCACCACAATACCGGTACTTATAACACACATTTAATGAAATTTAATTAATCTCTAATCATAACACAACAATTTCAGATCTCCTTTCCATACAGTGTCACTTCACCAGGTGCTTGGACCTAATATAATGTAAACATTGCTACATTAGCTCAGCCACTTCTGGCAAAAATTGCATGAAATTATCGACTGCTGATTTTTATTTGTGAATACACATACAAGTTCATGTACCTGTACATGTACATGTGGTTCTTTCATGTATGCAAAGTTATAACAGTATGGAAATTCATGATGAGTGCCCATTGGATGAATATGTAATGTAGGCAGACTTTTGCCTGTGATTGGCCCAATTTGCTTCCATTTCAATGACCAATCATAAGTCAGCTTTCATTTGGATGGGGTCAAAAAAACAAAAGGAAAAGATAGGAGCTGTGTTGCAACTGGTCAAGCTATCACACAGCTGACAGTTATCAAGAGTATGAGCTACTGATTTTCTGTGGTGTGGATTTGAAAATGCTCAAGAATTTCACCATTTTAATGAGGATATAAGGTGAATAAACCTCCCCATCTGCCATCTAACTTCACCAAGAAGGCATGTATGAAATTTGGTTACACAAACAGCTGTGGTGGAAAGGTAAACTAGCACAATCAAAACAGCCAAAATGTGTTTACAGTTCTGGAACAAACAGTACGCCCAATAGCAAGATTCAACCTCTGACCCCTAACATCCCGCACAAATTTTCTCTTGAAAAGCAAACCATCATAAAAACCCAACTACAATTTGATCACATGTCCACTTTGGTTTAAACTACATAGCACACTACCCAACCCAATGACTGTTTTTTAGCTACGATGGACTGACCTTGCAAATTGTAACTCCAGAGGAGCCCTTTTTCAGCATTTTTCACTTCAGCCAACAGGCAATGTAATACTCCCATCTTAGCTAAAGTGGCCTTGCAAACATTTTTTAGCACAGGGATGTGACTAACACCTGGGAATCTATTACGTGCACATGTACATTGACAAATCAGTGAACAGGTTCTCCCTAAATTTTACTACAATATATTTAATGCAAGCATAGCTCTAGTCTCACAGGAAAATCTATCAAGCCAGGCTCATTTTAGTGGGATGAGTGCCCAAGCAATGAGAAGAGAAATGCAAGATCAGCCATTGTACCTTCAGATAGTTGTGCAGGCTGACTTCCATTTGTTGACAAACTGCTTGAAGGACCTGCTCCATCTCCTGTTGATGTGGACGCTGCTCTACCATCTGTGGTAGCCTCACTGATCCCGCTAGTGACATCAAGTTCAGGGGTTGATTCTTTCTCCATCTTGTGCTAGTTTAACATTTCAACTGATTTCACAATGGAATTCAAGTTGAAATATCCAACCAGCCCACCAACCTGGTTACACAAGCTGTGGTTTTGAAGGTGGCCTCAAGATCTTGTAGTAGGTCTAAGTGCAGAAAAATCGACAACACAGAATCAGGCCAAGTTGACTACTGACAAGCCAAAATCCTCGATTTGCAAGTTTAAAGTCTCAATCCAAATTTGTGGCCTTACTCAATAAGATGCATCTGAAGTTGCTGCAGCTACCTTTGAGTTAGAGATCTTTGAAAAAATCTCTCCCGATGGAGATCAAAGGACACAGTTTTCTTTGACATACATACACTTTAATATCCTTAGAAAGAATTCCATATATGTACGCCAGTAAGTATTCCCTACAATGACCTACATGTATTAGTCATCACAAAGCAAAAACATGTCCTGAAAAGTTCACTTTAGGAGAGAAAATAGCAAGTCGTTTACTTCGAGAACACTTTTCAGTTTTCATTCATTATTGAGACCAGTCTCTAAGGGTTTATGCACAGGGTATCAAATGGAACTCTTTCCATATCCTTGTTCAGCGCAATCTTGAATCCTTCACAAATTGATCATGAATGAAACCTATTCATGGGATACTTACGGTATCTCAGGAAGAAATACAACATAATTTGCACGCAAGTCAAGACTCTGCTCAACACCCTTATTCATCACTATGTCAAACTGATGAGGAATATTATGTGAGAAGAATATTTGAATATGTTCACACGCACAATCATACCGGTACATGTGCTGTGGATACATGAACCCCACCAAATACATGCCCACACCCTTGAATTTAAAATGAGAAAATAACACTGACAATTGGACCTATTTTGTGTCATAGTATTACGAACCAGAAAATTTCCAGAAGGCATCAAGACCAACCCACATACCAAGGCTATACTTCCAGAACTGTAAGATTTATACAAACCCAAGTTACAGTTCTGAAAGTACCACGTCTGACGCCTAACTGAATCCTGTCCTTGAGCTATACTTTACGCATGTAGGCCTATACCTGTAGCAACCTAGTAAGGGCAGTATGTTCACTTGCCACCATGCTGGTTGGGACAGTAAACAAATTTGGACTGGCACAAAGTGGCAATTTTTGTTGTTGGTAATATAAAATCCCTCATTTTTGGCGTCCTAAAGTTGTCACATTCCTTCCAAAATACTGAGTGGGCCTACCGGTACATGGCATCAGACAGCCCCAACACGGCATGCCCAAGAGAATTTTCCTGGGACTGGAAGAAGACATCCGACAGACACAATCTTTGTTCTGACGCTTCATTTCATACTAATAATAGGCTCCAGGGCCTACATGTATTTTATTTTAGTAAGGGGGGGCCTATCTGGTATTTGGCTGGGCGGGCGATCAAACTTGTTTTCTACCTCTATGCATTTTATTCTTCCATGCTCCGTGATAAAAAAAACCATGGAGGAAATCACGTATCATTGTATGTTGATACATCCGACTTACCACAACTTCCACAGGAGGTTTTCACAGCTTCTTGCTACCTTGATAAAATGGTCAAAAACAAGCAGAACATCTCTCTTTCGGACCATCGGTAACATTTTGTGTTGATGATATGATTTGACCCGCGGCACGGCTACGCCCAAAGATAGCGCTATCGCTGCGTGGGGGCGGGGAGCTATGGTGTACTATTTACGACGCACGTTTCTCTCCCCCTCCAGCATCCCTCCGGGCTAGGACGACGCACGTGCCTCCCAGCCTGACTGTTTCTAAAAATATTCGTGATTACTAAGGCCAACAGAGGGCGTATGTCACAAGTCCTAGAAAAAAAATGTGCGTGCGCGCATAGAGCTAGGGTCACACCATTGATCTCCATTGCATTATATACACTGGATAGGACATCGCGTCCAAAACGCGTCCCGCGTATGCCTATTTTCGGGGGAGGGGGTAAATAACGAGCGATGCGAATTTCGTTGCGTGTACTTTCAAATGGAGTTTTTAAAAAACTGGTGGAGGCTTTTGTGCTTCAATCGTCAGATTTCGAAGAAAAACTGAATTCTGCACTTGGAATAGATAAATATGGAAAGAATAATGGTTGAGGTGTTACGCAGCAGTGAATTACCGGAGATCAACGTCAAATTTGGAAGAAGGAACAGAAGGAAATGTGAGTTGCACTTTTTAGTTTCAGAAAGTTTGTCAAGTTGTACTTTATAATGCTTAATTTTAAGCCTATATAGGCCTAGTAAGAAATTTATGACAGTCTATCCAGCCTATCAGGCTTTGTATATGAAACTTCACTATCCCGAAGCTGGGACCGTCTGAAATGTTACTGATTGGCAAAAAAGGTTTCAAAAACTGAATAATTTGTCGTTTATTTTTTCCAGATTTCACTGGAAAAAATCTCCAAGACAGCCATGATTTGTGTTTGTCGGATCTAAAGACGCACTCGCACTGAACTGAACCCAAATCGTGTGACAGACGATGTGATATGAGTGACGGAATATCCAGCGCAGAGAAACTAGAGCGAGAGACAGAGAGCTGACGTTTTCGTCGAGTGAAGTAACAAACAGGGAAATCCAATCCACGCAATGAAAGAAACTTTGTCTAGATTATAAAATTATTCGTTCTCAGTTAACACTGACCCTTTTCTTTTCAGAAATCGCTGTTAAATGTAAATCTTTAGTCGAGTTGGGAACTCATTTTTTTTTATTTGATTTATAAGTGTCTGTGATGAAATTAGTTTGGCTGGCAATCAAAGTTCCGCTCATTTTGTGCTCACAGAAAAGATTCTCACACTCGTCAGTTTTCAATAAATTTATTCAGTATATGAATGAATTTCAGTTCAGTGTTTCCTGCGAGTCTTTAAAAAAATATTTATATAAATCCCGAATTTGGGACTGATAGTTTCCAGTTTGGGTTGTTTCTTTCACACACACACACACAAAAAAAACAAATTGCGGGCCTATTTTGGATAAGGGCGGTTATACATTCAGAAATGAGCGCTTCGTTTTACTGCTTTTTTGCGGGTATCATGGGGAAAGGCGAATAAAATTTTTTTGTGGCTAACCCCCATGAAATTGAAACGAAAAGTGATCTTCTGGCCATAATCTTGAATATCCTTTCATAATACCATCTTTTCTATGGGCGTGTATTTGGTGTCACCAAATACGCACCCGTAGTAAACAGTTCAAAATCGGACCGAAATAGCGCCGTCTGTGGACTCTCGTGAAGACGTTGGCCTCGGTTGTTTTCTCTGGAAATTCCTATTATGGCCAGAAGATCACTTTTCGTTTCAATTTCATGGGGGTTAGCCACGGAAAATTTTTTATTCGCCTTTGAACCAAGATACCCCCCAAATAATAGCAATCAAACTAAGCGCTCGTTTCTGAATGTAACCGCCCGCGCCTCTATCCAAAATAGGTCCGCAATTTCGGGCTTTTTGTGATAGAAATACCCTAAAGTGGAGACTATCAGTCCTAAATTCGAGATTTATAGAAATATTTCTACGATGCCTCCTGATTGTGGCCTGTCTTGTTGTAAAAACCCCGTGGGATCGCAAAATATTAATGAGCTCGCGCGCAGAAATACATGTACAACCATTTGGTAGAATGCACCCTTGGGCGTTTTTACAGTGAAGTTCTCCGTCTTGCGCCGCCGCGCCCAGAGATGATATAACCGAAACGCGTCGCCGCGCTGGGTCGCACGCTGGGACGGCGTATTCGCGCTAGTTCACGTGCATTATGATTAGAGAGTTTTAAAAGGGGGATGGATTTGAGGTAACAACTGAACTAAATAAGAGCAAAGAAATTAATTACGGCATCCCGGTATCCCACAGTCTGTTGTCTGAGCTCCAGGAGAATGAATTCAGGGCAAAACCAAAAGACTTGTCGTCATGGGTGTCGCCAGGATTTTTCCAGGGGAGGGGGACCACTGTTGAGGGGCGGGGGCAAACAAGTCATCAGCTGCGAACAAATACACAGCGCTCAGCAGCAAGGGATACTGACCATAAATCATGAAATACAAAGGAATTGTAATAAATGCATTTCACTAAACGTGCACCAAGAACATTTTGTGATGAACAAGAGACATTTAATTCAACAAATTACATCACTACTTGTTGAAATGAATCACAATTTAAAAAAAAGGTGAGTTGTTTCCAACATAATCTGACATAACCATGAGTCTGTTTGTAATCATGTCCATTTTTGATAACTCAATGTATTCCAAAATTTATCAAGCACAATGAATTCTTTCATGCTGATTGGCCACATATGGTAACACAAATAAGCTGACCAGCTTCTAAGATCTAATGCTAGTCCGTGCCCTGTATGCCAGCTGGAAAGCCCATTATCCCAATTGCATTTGTAGGAAGAAATATCAAGTGCCAGCCTGCATTTTTGTATTCAGCCTCACTGCATACTAGGCACTGACAAAATTCAATTTACAGGATACTGGCAGTTAAAAAAAAAGGGAACCAAAAAGACTAAGTAAGCTTATTCCCAATTATTACCATTATTCTCAAACATGAAAATATCCTTACTTTAGACACTGCCTACACTGAACTGACACTTGCCTATAAAAACTCCTAACAACTGGTCTAGTTGGATCAAACATCTACCTGCAACCGACCGATTCAAATGAGGCAAAACTTAAGGAAATACTCCATAAATCAGTTTCAAACATATCTTTCTGCATACATGATTGCCAAGGGAATTAAAGTGGACTGCATTATAAAAAAAAACAGTGAATGGTGCACAGTCCCTTTGACCAGAGACACAAGACACAAAGGACATATTGGGATTACATGGGAATGATAATCAAAGATGGCACCATAGCATACAAGTACACAGTGCATGCCACTTGAGTGACACTACATCTTTACAACTTTAAAAACTGTACAGATCTATCGTACAAACTACAACATTGCTTCCTTATGACATGTGTCAGACTGGACGAGCACAGACAGCTGGTCAGGACAGCACACTGGCAAGAGCTTACAGGTACAATACACACTGTCCACATGCATACATGTAGGTTTGCTTGAACAAATGATGAACAGGACATGTAGCTTATTTCCAACTGAATGTGCACAAAACCTGTATTGTCTTATGTGAGAGGAATGCTCTTGCACATGGCAGCAAGGCACAAATTGGGCCCAGGCCAAGTCACAGTGTGCTACAGGAACTTCAGAGAGACTCACAATGCAATAGAACATGTGATTTAGCCTGTAAATAGAGATTTTACAGCATGAGAAGGTTTAGAGAAGACATTGCTAATTAGACGGTTACATGAAGAGATAGAAGAGACAGGAATTGAGGTGAAAATAGTGATCCTAATTCATTTAAATTCCAATTACATTGAACTGAACAGTCCGACTTATTGCCTGAATGTTTTTGTGAGAATTTTTCTCTGTATAATTATATACACAACTGCTACTTTAGCAACACCAACTGTCAATAAAAAAGTGTGAAACTTCTTCCTGTGGTGCCCTGACTCAACAAAAACCCACAAAAAAAGAGAAAAAACCCTTCACAAAGATTTACTATGTTCAATAGAATATTTCTTAACTATATCAAACTTCAAAACAACTGAATAGTTGTGTAGTGCTCTACCCAGGACGTCCTCTGCAACCGTTAGCATTTCCAATTTCTCTACTGCTTTTGATTTCATTTGATTTCATGCACACGTACACATCTTTGTGATCACTGAACATGTAATGGCAAAGAGTTTTCAAAAGGTTTCACTGGGGGACATCTCTGCTAAGTGCTAATGCGCAATAGCAACTGAACATCTTTCCCTGAAAGTGTGAAAAGTGTCTGCCAAAATGTAATGCAACAGAAAAACTAAAGGCATATTTATTAATACACGATTAACTTTTAAGGAGCGATACCCCCCACAAGGTTATAGCGACTCAGACTGGGATTCAGTGTGGGCAAATATTTCTTCAAAATCCAACAAACCCTCAGGTGGAGTTTGAAGATTATAAAAATGTCTGGGGTTAACACAAGTCGACATGGGAACACAACACAAAATTAAAGGTTTACAGAATTGTCCTCAAATTGTTGTTTCCACTGGACAATGAGCACATGTACACGTACTCTTACCATCATGTTATGACTAGATATACTAAGTGACCAAAGCAATGAATGTGTGGGTTACAAAGTTTGGGAAATGGGTACTTGCCTCGTACATGTCATGTAAAATCATCATCAATGGGCATCAAAATACAAGCAAGACAACTTGTACAAATAAATCAATTGATATATAGCACCATTTCAGGTCTAAAGATCATGCCTCTTATAGGGCTGGTGGAAAAAAGCACAGACTGAAAGAGAGAATCACAGGAAGTTGACTGGCGCCCTGTTCTCAGAAAGGTCGGTTTCAAATTCACAAACCAGGTTCTAGGTTACGGAAACAGGTGCACGCGCACAAAAGAAAGACCCATGGCATCAATTTTGACTCACAGGTGAGTGAGTGACACAAAGAGAACTGTGCAGAAGCTAGGCAAAATACTTGAAACACAACGACAAAAAACAGCTTCCACGCACTCCCTGTGCATTTTACGAGATATTTAAAAAAAAAGATACAGTGTACTCACACCATACGGAAATTGAGTGGAATTAACTTCCTGAGGCCTTTGCAAAACAGAACACGACCGCACAAGACAAATACTGTACTGCTGTTCCCCCCCCCCACCATTAATCAGAGTTAAGCCATCACCATCAGGGTTTGTTATACCATGGTATCAGA